ATCGGAAGAAACACCGAGTAGCTATAGGCCGTATTCCTAGTAGATTTTCACAAAAAACCTGATATTCTGAGGCGATCATTAATATTGCACAATGACGCCTGTCTTTTGCAAAGCCAGGCTTCTCTTTTTTCGGTCTGAGCTCATTCGTGTGTTCGTGTACGTTCTTACGTACCTATTCTTACGCTGAAGAGACTTTTTCCTCTTAAAAATAAAGACTCAGGCCTTTAGGGACATGTTGAGATTGATTTCCTCCTGGGGGGCTATTTTACGTCGTATTTACAATTCTGATTAGGCAGATCAAATTTAAACAAAAAAATAAATTTTTACGAATTTGAATTTATAAAGTTAATTATCCAAAATATTCAGATAATATTTATTTTATTCAAATTTAAGTAAATTTAAATGACTTAAATAAAAATTAAGCTGATATAATCCATCACCTGTATGAAATACTTATTTAAACTTATTTAAATATATATTTTAAAAGAAATTTTAATAAATATGATTCGGAATAAATAAATGATAATAAAATAATATCTACTCATTACAATTAGTAATTACAAATAATTACACGATTCAAAAAAATACAATTTTCTATTTTTATTAAAATTGTTTAAACTGATTTTATATTATTAATCAATATTTTGTATAAAGAATCTATAAAAATAGAATAAAACTAAGATTATGTATTGCAATTTAACTTAATTTTATAATACATTTTTGTCATTAAATATCTATTTGCCTATAATACCGAATATTAAATTTACTTATATTTGAGCTTAAATCACTGATTCTGTTATTGAATTTTAAAATTATAAAACAGTCAATCAGTTTCATAAAAATATATTTGGGAAAATCAATATATCAAAATTGTATATTTTTAAGATGATACATATATAATAAGATATTTATGAACCAACAATGATAATAACATTACATTTGTTTACGTAAGTGAATTTTCTACAATACGAAAATAATAATAATATCAAAATAATTTATAATTTTAAAGTTTTTTAGTCTAAATTTGTATAAATAAAAATATAAAAGTAAAATTTTTGTAAATTTTAAATTGGTTACACTGATTTATCAAATTATTAATTAAAAATTTAAAATATATAAAATAAAAATTAAGTGAGAGAAAAATAAAGTAGAGAAAAAAATGATTTTTTGAAATATGATGTAACGGTCATATGAAAAAGATATTTTGACATATTTTTCACGAACACATTATGTATTCATTAATAGTAAATATTCACTTTTGCATAAAAGCATACCTTTTGATAAACAGGAAGTATTGATAAAATTTTTAGAATGTATATTTTTATTTGGTGAAAATAGTATTAAATTTTTTTCTTTACGAAATACTATTCAATTTCATTAGAAATCTATTTTTAAGCACATTAAAACTTGAGAATTCATTTACATATTATAGTAATATTATTTTATCTATATTTCGATTCTAAAGACTGGATTTTCGCATAAGTCAAATAGCTACATTTTGGATGTGTATACATACATATATCTGACTGATTGGATAAGCGAATGGGTGTTTTCATTTTTTATCTAATATTTGCATATATACATATAATTTTACTTTTTTGTGATTTCCAAACCTCACGTTGAGTACACAATTCGGAGAATCCATTCGTATTCTTTAAGTTTGCGGTGCCTTACATCGTATACGCGTTAAGATCGACTAAACATTACCACCGCAATATTCCATGTAAAAGCTGAGCTATTGCCATTCGTTGTTACCACGATGAGGATGAATCTTGGAAAATAGCTTTTGCGGATAAATGTAATCAATAGGTCAAAACGTTTTAAGAACATGGAAAAACACTTCTGTTATTATTCAAAATTTTTTATATTGATATTCATTATTAAAATTTAGAATATAAATTAACATATAATTTTGTATATTAGCAAATTTTTCAAATATTTTCTAATTACTTTAATTAATAAACTCAATTAATAATAAAATACAAATGCTATGAAAATTGTTACATACTTGTATATTATTTTAAATAAATAAATCTTAGCGCTTTTATTATTAGTTTTTGTTAATAGTTCATATTAACATATTTTATGTACATTAAGAAGATAGCATACTTATATTAATAATATAAAATTCAATTTATCAAAATTAATTAATTTGTTGATTTCCATAAAAAAATATATGAATTCAATAAAAAATATATATAAAAGTATTATAAATATAAAAAATATAAATAAAAAAATATTAAAAAATATATATATATATAAATTTTTATACAATTGCATACTATATTAAATAAAATTCTGGACAATGAAGAAACACAAATTATATAAATGAATAACTTAATAATTAAATGAATATATTACATACCTCTTCGGATACGATAATATGAAGAAAACAAATTTAAATAAAATAATCAAGTTTGAAAATATTACTTTTTTAAAAAATTTCTAAAAGAATAATTAATTTGTTTAAATTAACTAATTATATTTATTTTTCTAATTTACTTAAAAAATAAACAAATTATTTTCTATTATTTTCTAATTTTAATTCAATTTATTTTTTTTAGATTCAATTGATATAAAAATGATATATTCAATATTAATTGCTTATAATGAAAAATAGACATGTTATGTAATACTATATATTAATGTTAATGCTTATACGTTAATAATTATATTTAATTTAACAATTGTATATTAAATATTTATTTTTGAATTAAATGAACAGCACTAATCAGTTGAAAATATATAAATATATACACTGTAAATTGTATACAAGAATTTTGAAACAAAAATATTAATGTTTGTTATGCTTTATATTGTTTTTATTATGCCATAATGTAAATATAAATTGGAATTTACAAACTTTTAATTTAAAACAATAAATCACGTTAAATATTAAATGTTAATTTATACAAAACACATTATATGTCGATTTATTATGAACTATATTAGTGTTATTCTATGTTTTTTATGAATTTAAACGTAGTAAAATCTTTTTACCTTCCAAAATTAAATATGTGTTTAAATTAAAATTATTATATTTATATTACAATTATTATAGTACTTTCAGTATAAGCATGTACCTTTTTGAGTATAATTTTCAATGAAAGAGTAATATTATACACTATAATATAAAACTTTTTATTAAAAATTTAGTTTTATTATTATTCACAATATTAATATTATTTTATGCTAATTATAGAGAATAATTTTATATATGGATGTATGATATACTTTATTACTTTATTAAGTATTGCAACATCCGTTATTGCAAATTTTCTTAATTTTTAATACAATAGAAGGTGTATTTTAATGATTAAAATGTTATTTTTGAATCTTATACAGTATTGGTATTTATATAAAATACTTATTGAATTCCTAAAAATTATACTTTTAGACAATATTATATTTACTATTCTAATTAAAACTAAATTAATATTAATTTATGTTTTTTATAAATATTGTTTTTAACCTTAATACTTTTGTTTGTTATAATTAATGTTAATGATTAAAAAAAAAATTGTATAAACAAATAAAATAAACAAAAATAAATTGACTTTTTTATCAGATTAATCAAACATCATTTTGTATGTATTTATATATGCAATTATATGTATATCACATTAGTTTATAAAATATTCATTTATTTAATAATTTAAAAAATTAATGTTATCATTGTGTTAAATTAAACATATTTATCAATTGCTCTTATTTTTTATATGTATATAAAACTGTTACTTAAATAATATGAGTAAATAATAAAGGTAAGTAATAAAAATAATATTTTAAATTGTAAAATGGTATAAAAAAATTCACTTTCAATTTTTCATATTAATCGAACATTTGAATTCAAATAATTATTGGTAAATGTAGAATATTATAATTTCTACAATAATTATATTCAATATCTATTAGCTAATATGATTATTAAAATATTGATTTAATTGATGCAATCAACTCTAGTTATAAGATACTTTAAAAAATGTTTTATTCAAAATGATATTGAAATAATAAGGAAATTCTTTTTTTCAAATATATTACCGAAAATGGCTTATGAAAAAATATAGTAATTGATTTTATTGCATTATATATATAATATTTGAATGTTAGTACTGTAATTTTTTACTCATTCTTAATAATATACAACACGTGTCTTTAATTACGATGCAATTAAATGAAGTACATATCCATAATATTAACAATCTGTATTAATTTTTTTAATGACATATTTAATATATTTATGTAATTTCAATGGAAATAAAAAATATAAAATATATTTAAAATAATCATTCTTTTTCAATTCCATTGCACTCTACTGATGTTAAACATAACATAAATGTGGTATAATATATTATGTTTGCTGACTCAAAATTTTTTATTAGAAATGCTTAAAAATATAATATAAAAGATATTAGAATTTAGGCAATTAATTTTGTAAACATTCTTTCTTGAATCCAATTATAAAATTGTTCGTTTTCATTTGTAGATATTTATCTAATAAATATGTTATCTATAAATCGTTATTCTATTTTAAAACATTAAATGTACAAAGGAAACTGTAAGTGTTATTCATGTCAGAAGATATAAATTTCTGAGACAGGAGAATAATATTGTATATGCTTATTTACAATCAATAAAGTAAACTGTAATTGACCAAAAATCATAAATATTCATATTTCCCCGCGAAAGAATAATTTCTACTTTGTAATTTCATAATATTATGTATTGTGTTATTGTACAATATAATTTTTCCACAATTAAGTAAATAGTTCCTTAAATGAATTATTATTATTATTGTTATTGTTATCATTATTATTATCATTATTATTATGTGTATGGTACATATCCAACTTAACAGAACTTGTATATCAATGCAATGGATATGTGTATTGCTGCAATGATGAAACATGGATGGGAGCCTCATTAAATGGAGAAAGCGTTTGGAATCTAAAGAAACATACTCGCTTTATGTATTTTTTCCACATATATTACTTGTATATTACGTGTACAGTTCGTGTTTTTTCTATATATTTTTTGTATATTAATTAATTTTTTTTAAAAGAATTATTTTGTAGAAATCGAATTTGTTCTTTTCTAACACATAAAAATAAAATTCATCAAATAACTTTTCCTTTTCCGGTATTATTTCAAGTGGTCTTCAAAAATATATTTTTATTATTCTTTTTCAAATAAATTATATAATTTTAATTTTGTATTTTTTTTCATCTTTTCTGTAACAGTTATATCTGCATCTTTATTGATTACTATGGTAAAATATGAGTTTTCTGAAACATTCATATGCTAATGACGTTATATAATTTCTGTACGATTATAAATTATTTAAAAAATGATATTGCTTTATTTCATGTATTTTGACAATAGATTCGAATATATAGTCAAACATACTGTATACTTGATAATTTGAAATTTATTTTAAATGTTATGTATATTTTTATTTCCTAAAAGTTGAAATTGAATTCGATTCATTTTAAAATAGTTTATAAATATTTATAAGTAATATATATGATTAAAGTCAATGATTTCTTTTTCTAAAATTATAATTAAAAAACATGCAAATACTAATAATTAAATATTATTAATATACAATCAATTTTTTAGTTTACATTCCCAATAATACTTAGATAAAAATTGACTACTTAAATTATAAAATAAAAATCGTTAATAGATGGGTAGTATTTTTTTTATAATATAAATTATTATTAATCATTAATATAATTATTATATATTAATTAATATTCTTAATTATCATTGGTATTTTTTTTTATTGTTAATCCTATAGTCAGTTTGAAGATGTACTATAAAACGATGACAGGCAAATAAAACACTTCTCTATGAATATTTAAAATGAATTTAAAATAATAAAAGTTATAACATTATTAAAATTAAATAGTATTCTAATTGAAATAATAAATTAAATTGCAATAATACCATAATTTTATATTTTATTTTTAATAATTATGGTTCGATTCTTTACAACTAGGTGATTTAGTAAATTAAATATCTACAATATGAAAAAACTATATTTTTCATATTTATTATTTACGATGACCATAAAAAAGGTCTAATTTAAATGTTTTTTTTCAAACATTCAAGTATGTATTTTTTATGTTGTCAATTATATTTTTTTAATTTTAATTAAATTCTTATTAAATTTTCTTTTAGCTTTAATAGCTATAAAATTCTATATTTTATATTTTTACTGTTTATGTGAAAAAGATTTAATGAAAATATTTCCTATATATTTTTTTTTAAAGTCTTTTTAATGAGTAGATCTATCATGAATAATTTATTCTTATAATCGAATTTCACATTTTCATGATTAATAAAATCGAATAATTGTTTAAATTTTAAAGTAATTATTTTAAAGATTTATAAAATTGCGATAATAAGCAGTAATCCTTAAAAATTTATTTTCATATATTTTCCTGTTTAGGTTGTTTTTGAGTTTTCAATGTGTTTACCTATATTTCTACGTGTTTTGTAGTATGCCAAGGACAGGTTTGATTTGTTATAAAATATTTATATTTCTTCTATTTTTTTTATAAAAAATAATTTCCTTAGCAATTTGTAGTTAACCAAAAAATTGTAATAAAAAAATAAAAAATATATAAATATAAATACCAAAAACTAAGAATATAAAACTAAGAAAAATAAAACATAAATATAAATAGAACAATAGAGGAACGAAAAATTTATTGGAAGGCATGTTAATAACATTAGATATAAACAGCTACATATCGTATAGATCAACATGTGGCATGAGTATAACATATATTTATTACCTTTAAAAAAATACTAAGTAATAGGTTAGTAAATATTTATACATAATAATAAATATTTTTACAATACATTTATCAAGAGTCACATAATAATTACGAGGTTCTCAGTGATTATGTTAATATTGAAAGTAAATAGGTGATTATTGTTGGGGTTTCTCCCTCGGAGCGTCAAAATAGTCTAGAAATTGATGTCGAGTCAAATGAAAGAGAAGGTTTCAGAAGAATGGAAAGAATGCTCGATCGTTAACGGTTGCCATTGTCCTTGTAACATTCGTGCCGACGTTCAAATAAGGTAACGAGAGGTACTACAGACCGCATGGAAACCAAATCCCTTCAAACTCCTAAATTTTGTCGGTGAAATTTATTTACAAACTCAATTGATGTGATGTTGTTGCGTCGTTGACTAAACAGCGAGTTTTGGTTTCAAGTACATTTGCAATATCATACGCCACTCATTCGGATAGTTCTGCTTCATAAAGGACATGAGTTTCTTTGCGTTGAGTGCCTGTTGAGGGGAGCATCGAGCGCATCCATTATGTAATGCTTCTGGCAGTAATGCTGTGGAATACACAATAGAAATACTCATTTTATCTCTCTTGTACTTTTTTTCTCCTCCTATCTATCTTTCAATAAAAGCCTTTTCTAGTTATTTTGTTAACGGATCTAAGACTCTCCTTATGAATTATGTCTGATTTTAACAATTATCAGTGGCTTGAGTGTTAAGGAGCCATTGTGGTACAAAGGGCTGGTTTACACTACTGAATATTGAAGTAATGTATATGGTTAAAACTAGCCAATAAGTCAATCGCTCTAATTATAATTATTTCTTATTAAATACTTAAAAGTATATTTGCTTGCATTATATTTTAATATTTTATAAAACTTTCATATATAAGCATTATTAATGAAACTCAGATATTTTCACATATAAATCATTGCAACAGCAATTCGGTAAATTTATATTAGAGTTCAATGCTTAATAGAAGACATTGAATTTATAGATTTCGATTGTAAATGAAGATTAATTTTTTTTAATGTCAATTTTATATTAATTATATTATTTAAATTTATAAGCATAATTTAAAACATAAAAAAATATTGAAGAATTCAACTCCTGATGTCTCAATAATTCAACAGCACTTAAGTGATTATGTTGTTACCGATGAAAATTTTTGTTCGTTATCAGTAAATGCCACGTCACTACAAGATAAGGACTAAACTTTATTAAAAAAATTTTAGTAAGTATTGTTTTCATTTAATGTTCGATAAAAAATGCTGAAACACCCTTTGTTATGTATTCCGTAGTATATTTATAACTGACAAATATTAAAAATTTCTTAATTTCATAAACAAATAATCATATTATTTTAGAAGATAAAATATCATAAATATAGATTAAATTTTAAACAAATGCCTTTAATTTTAAAACATATTATTTTAAACTATTATGCTGTTATATAAGTAATTTTTATGTAATAATCTATTATTAATATGTACTATTATAAATATTATGATTCAAATATTTTCATTTACTTAATTATTAAAAATATCAAGAAACCCTTAATTTATTTTATTTTATTATTTTATTATTTTATTATTTTTTATTATTTCAAATTAATTTATAAATTAAGTATATTTCCATTTATTTAAATAATATAAGTATAATATAGCCCTAAAAAATTACTTTTTTGTATAAAAAATAATTGAATCATATTTTTCCTTTAGTTAATTTTAGAATAATTATTAAATATTATTATTTTATATTGATAATTATGATAATAAATGATAATAAATAATAAATGATCTTTTTTTTTTTAAGAATTTAATTTGCAGAAGTTATTTTACAATACAGATAATAAATATATATATATTTAGATGAATACATTACAAGTTTCAAACAAAAAATGAAAATAGTTTATACCAATTTTTAACCATCTAATGTAACTGTAAATATCAATAAAATTGAAATCAGTGCATTAGAAATTCAATGTCAAGGTTGATTCGTTGATTGTTTGACTTTTCCAAGTATATTGATATGTAAAATTTTATCTGAAGTATTAATCAACTTTATTATTACTCGAGTTTAAATTGTATATCTTTACAAAATAAGCTTTGTTAACTGAAATTTAAGTTTCAGACAACACCAAGAGATAAATAAAAATTAAATTTAAAATATTATATTGAATATTTAAAATAAATTATTGAAATATATTAAGATTGAAATTTTAGGTACTTGTATTTAATTCATTTTTTTATTAACAATATCAAATTATATATTTGTGTAGAATATGCTATTTTGTGTTGACGTTCAGCATTACCGGCCAAGTAGAATAAAAAGAATTAGATAAGCTATCCTTAAAATAAAAAAACTTGATGTTTTAAAAATATATTACAACTTTAAAATTTATGATATAAAGAAAAATTAAATAATAGTCAAAAATTGAAAATTTGTCAAACTGTTAATGATGAAAGTAATAGTAAACGAGAACAACACAACATTCTGCTGAGTAGCTTAATATAAGAGAAGAGTCAAAAGGATGGTCACCTTTAATCTGCTTGCCAATAACGTCACAGGAGTTACGTTGAAGTATGCATCTAATTTCTTTATCCACAATGTTTCGATTTTGAAGTGAAAGAGATATATCTTGTGTGTTCGTGAGAGCAAGGATCATTACCAGGGTAAAAGCAATTACACGTGTGTTTTTCATTACTTTTAGTGATATTTCGATCGTGTTTGAATAGGTTGTAGCTTTCTTGATGGAATTTGTGATACTGAATGAAGGAATAACAGATGCTTTGTTTGTCGTTGCAAGTCACGAGTGTCGACGGTCCGTAAATCGACGACCCTTTAATAGGTCGCAAACTCTATCGTTGGATCGGCGGCTAATTAAACATGCGGCTGTGTCCGTGAGGGGAACAAGGTGTGCACGCGTATACTACACAGATTCATTATTGCGTCTTGTTATTGGCTGTAGATAATTGTATGCACAATGGCATTATTCTAGGAAAACGAATTTTTTTCGGTGACTCGATGCTTGATGCACGGGTGCAGTATTGTAAAAGTGGTCGCGAGCTTCGAAAACAAAACTTCGATTGTTACTATACAATATTATTATTTCTCAAGATTTACATCGCCAAGATTTCTTCGTTAAGATATATATATATAAATAGAGATAAAAACTTTTTAAATAAATTTTAATTGCGCAGTCTGTCAATTTATAAAGTAAAGCCATTCAATGGAAAACATATTACTTGTTATATACAAACAAAATAATTATATAAATTATTTTTATTTTAATATTTGTTTTTATGTTGAATTTATTCAAACGAATCATTTTTATTTTTAAATAATTTTTAAAATTTCTATGCGATCTTAACTTACTATTTTATTTTATATCACATTCGTGTCAAAAGTTAACACATATTATTAATGAATTGAATTAATAAAACTGTATTATAGTATCAGTACAAAATTATATTAAATGATATATCATAATATATATTTCATTTTTAATAGTTAATATATAAATAGTTAATATATGAATGATTGTATTCAATAAATATCAAAATATATAAATTTTATTATTGAAATAAATGATTACTTTCATATAAAAAATATATATCAATACTTAAAAATACTTTAAATTTATGGATAATCTGATAAATAATAAAATATGAAATAAATATATATCATTAAACCAAACACTTATTATTGTTAGTTAAATTTTAATATGTATTAAAAAACTGAATTTTCTTTTAGCAGTATGCAATGAATTAAATAATTGGATATATTATTAAGCTATTAAAGAATTCATCATATATAATATATTAAATAGATCATACTTATTCTAAATGATATTACAAGGTAAATAATATGAATAAAATACATTAATTGCATTTTACATTCATATATAAACCGCTTTACTAAATATAAATAACAAAAATGTTGTAAAAATATAGTTATATATTAGTAATAAAAATTTCAACATTTTGTATACTAAGTATATTATAATAAATATAAATTTACTTATAAATACATTTAATGTTTATTTGTTGAATAACATATAAATTTAAAAGTAATGATACAGTACTTTAACAAACTTATCTATTTTTAAGAATTTAATTTAATATTTATTATTGAGTGAATAATTAGCATGCTCTTTTATTAATTTGATGTATGATTTTATAAAGTTTATCGTTTGAATTAAATTTACTTTAACGTGTATATATAATATACATAACTGATTAAATATTATATAAGTTATAAAGTCTAAGGATTTATTTATTGAAAATAAACACGATTTAAATAATATTGTAAAATAATTAAATTATTTTTATAAAAATATAGATATAGTACAAAAATATTTGTAGTGTGTAAAACATATAGTTATTAAATATATCTATATATAATCATTAAATATATATTTATATACAAAAAACTGATATGCTGTATGTAGGAACATTATTAATTCACATTAAATTTATCAAAAATAATAAATTAGTGTATTATACTCAGGAACGTTATTTTTACGTTATTTTATTTAAACAAGCACATTATTGAATCGAAAATTATTTTTGAAATAAGAATTGTTGAATATGCTATTTATGAAAATTAAGATAATAATTTTTTCAATTAGATTAACTTAATTTTATATTTTGGCTTTATTTATTATTTTAATTATTTTACATTTAATACTTTCCAAAAGATATATATTAAAACAATATTTGAGGGCTTTGGAATGTGCATGTGTTAAGAGAACGAACTATTTCAAGAGAGATAATATAATATAGTAGCAAGTTGTGCTCAGTCTACTTTAATAACCACATTCAGATTTGTCGATCAACAAAATAATTTAAAATAAGCAACTACTACTGATTGGAAAATATATGTAGGATGAAATATATTATTTTGTAATATGACATTAACAATATACTTTCAAAATATTAAATTTATAAATAAAGGTCTTCAAATTTTAATTTTTAATATTTCATAATAAAAAAACAAAATCGTTTTACTATAAATGTTCTGTAATCATTATTACCAATCAATATATATAATTACAGTTAATGAAACTATTTAAGTATATAATAATAACTTAATTAGATATCATGTATTTATTGTACTTTTATAATTTAAAAAGCATGATTGATATAAACATAATCAGCTACAAAATGAATAGAGAGAGAGAGAGAGAATTAAGAATTTAGTTTTTTTTATGTAAAATATTCATGGTTTTATTAATTTTTATTAATTTTTACAATTATAATACAGACTATTTTAATATAGTTCAGTTTTAATACTACTTATATATTTTATATAAAAATTTAAACTTTTTCATCAATTCTCTTCAGCTAGATTTTATTTTTCATCTACATTTAATTTAAAAATAAATTATTACAAAATTTGTCTTCGATTAGTATTAAAACAGTTTCTTTTTAAAGTGTAGGAGTAAATTATTAAAGTAGAAGTAAATTTTAAGCTATAAATATAAAAAAAATTTATGAAAAGGTTGAGATTAGAATGGGCTTATTTTTTATAATTCTTATAAAAAGAAAATAAATCTTATAAGTATATAAAAATAAAGACGTTATGTATAAATAATAATAATATGTAATAAGTAATCTTATATTAAGTATAAGAAAACATTTAAAAACTAAACATAAATATCAATCTTCTTAGTTACAAAAGTTAAAATTAATATTTTTTAAAAATATTTATATAAACATTTTAGTTTTTGTAAAATGAAGTACTTGTGCTTGAAGCAGTATACTATATATTTTTATTGGAATTATTTAAAATAACAGTTAAATTTACAAAATGTGGCTGTGAACTTCTAAGTACAATTGTATATTATTAACTTTAATAAATGATTGGTAATGAATTTTTTTTTAATTTATTTTAGAAATTATAATACGTATTATAATTATTTAAAATTTTAATTAAACAATTTCTAGTTTTTATTAATTAAACTACTTTGACTTCTTTATATTTTTTAATTATTTATTTTCATTTAAATAATTTTGGAATAATGAAAAATGTACAAAAACTAAAATAAGTTATAAACCAAGTGAAGTATTTATGATAAAATAATTAATAAAATTTGATAAACCTGAATCGTCAACAATCGTTATTATTTTTAATTATTAATAATAATATAGCAAATACCGACTTTTATAAGAATATTTATTTTTTAATTATATGATAAAATTTTAATTATTTATTTTGCTTTATTGTAATAACCTTGTTTAACGTATACAAAAGTGGTAATATGGTATAATATCTGCACTTCGTGTTATGCTTTGAATGGAGTGTTTCCCGTCATTATTATCCCGCCACTTCGTATGAACTTTAGCAATGTCATTAAAATGTATTTACAAGAATTTTATTAATACAATGTGTTGAGTATGAATAATTATTGTTAAACTTTGTATATATTTATAAGTTTTTAAAAATATTTAAAATTTAAAGAAATATAATAAAATAAGCAAATTTTTTTTTGCACACTTATAACCTTTCTTTTATTAGTGTTTAATACAAATGTTGTTAAATTTATTTTTTAAAGTAAAAAGTTATTAAATAACATACTAAAATTTACCAATACTAATTGATGCTATTGTAATATTCAAGATGTAAATTAGTATTTATTTTTTTGCAGAATAAGTTTTTGTTTTAATTACAGCTTAAATTGTAAGCAATGGCCAATTGTACAAGAGAAAGGAAGTTGTCTTTTTCGTTTAATTTAGATTTAGATACTGTTGATAATGAGGCTTCATCAGATTCAGATGCTACTGGACTACAAATTGATGTTTCAGAAGTAGATAGTTTTAACGATACTAATAAATTAAGAAGACAAACTGTAGATGATACATCTTTTTTAAATAAAATGGAAGAGGAAATAGAAAGGCAATTAGATGCAAAAGCATCTAAAACTAATTTAACTGCAACAAATGTTAAGAACATTTTGAAACATGTTATTTCTAATGAACATGTTATGGCTATGGTTCAAAAAAGACTTACAAAAGGAGATGATAATATTATTTTTGAACCTAAACTAACAAGAGCTAAGGCCAAGTATGAATTAAATATTTTGTTTCACAGATAATTAATATTATATATAAATTAGTAACTATTTTTTATGATATATATTTTTTTATTGCAACAGAGAATTAGCAATGACCCAACCTGATATTCGGTGGCCTATAACACCTGTAAAAAGTACAACTTCTGATGTTCAAATTCTTATTCATGAAGAATTTTCAGAAGACTCATCTGATGAAGAATATCATCCAGATCAAGATCAACAAAGTGATGATGATAAAGATGTTGATAATTCTTTAGGAAGTGATGTAGATTCTCAGTCAACCACCCCAGCAATTCCATGCAATACGTCACCTCCTTTGGAAATATTACACTTATCAGATATTCAGTATGATAAAGAAGGAATCTTTAAAGTACCATCATTGCAAGTTGTATTTTATTGGTTTATAATATTATTAATTTAAATTTTGTTTTTTAAACTATACTAGTCAAACAATTTATCGCTTTTCATATTTTATTTTTTCTTCAGTTTGTAGAATATTATAAATTGAATTTTATATTGCAATTTTTAAATTTTTATAAAATAATTTTTTAGTATCCCCCATGTTCCAACAGAAGAAGAAAGTATAGGACACAGAACACGTTCAAAACTCTGTCTTAGTGAAACACCTTTGGAACAAATTGAACAAGCATTTATTCCTCCAGATATTACAACTGACATGTACGATTGGGACTGGGAACCAGAAGATGAATACATTAATTTCTTGAAAGAACTGTACACTCAACCTCTTCAAACAGAAGTAAATGTTGAAGATGATCCTGAAGCGGATCCTGAATATAATATATTAGAAGATGAAGAAACAGATTTACGTATGTGTAAATATTTATAATGCAATAATTAATATAAATTTTTAACACTTTACATTACCATTATACAGTGGATAAAGAAGAATTAAGAGAAGATAAGGCAGTTAAAATATCAAAAAAAGAATTAAAAACCTTAATAGCTGAACTCGATGAATTTGCAGATCAATATACAAAGCAACAGCAACAACAACAGCAACAATTACAACAGCAACAAAAAATATCGAAAAAAAAGAAAACATCTGATATTTTATTTACATCTATAGAAAATATTTCTTCTGTAAACTTTTTAATGAATTTTTACATATAACTTATTAAAGTTACTTAACACTTAAACTGATAAGTTTTGATTATAGGGAAATCCAATGGTTGATTTATTACCAGTATTAGCTGAGCCAGAACTTCCAGAACTTATTAATTCTGATCAACGTTATTTACTTTCAATTCAAATGTCTCAGCATGTTCAATTAATGATTCAGCAGTATCTTATGACTTACAAGCATCCTAAATGGAGTCAACAATCTAAAATTTGTAAAAATAATTTATACAGTTTAAGGTAATTGTAATCTATTAGAATATAATTATTTTAAAATTTACATTTAATTTATATTCTACTACTGTAATTATTTTATTTATTGTTTAGCACTTTAGGAGATAAATCGGATTCGGAATTTATAGCTGAGAATTTATCTGATGCTTTTCATCTACTTCTTGATTGGGAATTAAAATTGTCAGATTCAAAGTTTTTACAAGAGTATATTAGCTACTTACAAAAAGAAGCAGAAACCGAAGAAATTATTTTTCGTACTAAGAAGAAGTATATAACTAAATTTCATCCGGAATTAATTAAACTAATGGCACATAGTCGAGCATTAATGCATCCTCAATTATTGCCAAGCACATTTGTTAGTGCTCTATCACAAACCAGTAAACAACCATATTTATCATCAGAGGATAAGTAATCAAATTCGAATAAATTTATATCTAAGGTGAAATATATAACTGAATTTAAACTATATATTACTTGCAGTCTGATTGCTTTAGGATTAGAACAGTTTATTCCACATGTTAAAATGTCATCAAAAAAATTTAATAGACAGTGTGATATATTTGCTGATGCTGTGAAAGAAATACAACGATTTTTAATTCCAACTAAAAGCGTAACTGGACTAATACATCATATAAATAAAAGCAAATCTAGTAAGAAACAAAATTCTATCAAGGTACTTTCATAAGAAAACAATTTATCATATAAGTTTCATAAAAATTGAAGATAAAATTTTTCTTAAAGAGTAATTTAATAAATTTTTAGTTATTATTTTATGTTGAAAAATTATTGTAAATTATTTAATTATTCTGTTTAATCTAGATATTTCAAAATAATATTTTTTTATTTGTTTTTTAATAATTCTCTATAACTCGAAATAATAACAAGTATTTTATTTTAAATTGAGTAGTCTCTTGTCTTTTTTTAACTTTTAATTCTAAAGTAGTGATATTACTTCAGTATTATTTTACTACTGGGTCTGCTCCAAAAATAGGACATCATGTTTTGAGTGAATATAAACTATTATCTCCAATTGAACAACCAACAGAATTTTTACCAATAATTTGGCAAGATTTAATAGATACTGTAAGTTATGTATACGAATTTCTTCTATTATAATAAAGTCGTTAATAGTTACTCAATAATTAAATAAATTTATAATTTCAGTTAAAATATGGCAAAATTGAAGATTTTCTACTATTTTCAAAACCACAAAAGGAGAAAGTAATCAACTACGATGATGAATTTCTTCCTGTTTCTTATGATGAAATTATCATACATAGAGATCATCAATTAAGAAATCCAATTGTTAATATGTTTAAACACATGCCTTCTTTAATTACTCCTCAGAAAGTAGAGTCTAGTAATTCTTTATCAAAAACTACCAGTAAAAATACTATAGCAACTCTATCTAGAACAAATGAAACAGAATCTGATGCTGAATCTGCTGAAAGTTTAAGGACGTGTGAAACAGATGAAGATGAATCAAGACCCATTCGTCTAAGAAGGACAACTCCTCGGTTAGCTAAAATTAAAAGTGTACAAAACATGAAATTACTGGCTCAAAATCTATCCCCTAAAACTTCCACGTTAAGCAATAATATTATTGAAAATAAAGATTATGCTTTTGACAAAAATGACGATGATGCATCATCTTTTACAAAAGGGGTAATATTGTGAAATTATCTTTTTAAAATAAATATTAATTTTTGAAGAATTTTTGAAGAAGAATACATTATTTTTAATTCATAAAATTATATTAAATCTATTTCATATATTATAAATTATAAATTTCAAGATTTTTCCATAATTCGTAATCAAATTATATAAATTTAGTTTTACAAATTATTATATTTTTATTTTAAAGGATAATGAAGATGAAATAGCTGAGCTTATGTTGGCCAGCACAACTATTAAAAAAAATACAGCTAGTCGTAAAAAAACTAAGCAAGCTAGAGAATTGGAAAATTTAAAAAGATTATTAGAAGTAGAAAATAATATAAATGAAGAAGAAAGAGCTACAAGTAAGTATGTATTTGTGACATCAATAAAATAATTTCGTTTCAAATATCTTTATTACAGAATTTGCTGCTTCATTTATTCAAAAGATACATGTTAAACTAGAATCGAAAGATCCAGAATTATTCAAAACGGTATTAAAAATTTTCTTGGATTATAGTGAAAAGTTGGAAAATCCAACTCAATCTAATGATTGTTTTTTAAATGATACATCTCATCCAGATACAAACATTATAATAAAAATTGAAAAGAATTTTGATAGAGATAAACTCTCATTGGATCTTTATGAAAAAGTTTGTAAAAAATTGTATGAGTATCCGGATCTCTGTTCAGATTTTTTATTATTCTTAACACCTCATCAAGCTGCTCTTATTAATAAATCTGTAGACCATACAATGATGTTAAAGATGAAAGAATTTGTTAATGTAACGCAAATGTATTTTGCAAAACAACCTTCTCGTATAGCAAAAGTGATGCAGGCAATGACACAAATGGCTTCAGATCCGTATGTGTCTGTTGAAATTGCACAAAATATAATGGGTGTAGCTCTTAAGGGTCATCCTTTGATCATGGATATGTTTTTACAAGTTCTACCTACTGGTAAACCTCCTGATAGGTATTTAATTTTTAAATGTATGATATATAGTTTTGTATATTTAAAAATATATTTTATCTTTCATATGATTAATCAAGTTATTAAAAAAAATAATTATTAACAATTTATATATTTTTTTTTAAATATAATACTGTAAAATATTGTCAGTATTTTTAATTGTAAAGAATATAAAGTTCAAATTTGTTCTGATTAGTTTATTATTTAGCTTATTTGCTGCTCACATGTTTGAAAATTTATCTTGTCCAGTTGGGCCACATGATAAAAATAAAGCATATGATATAGATGCTCCTGAATTATATGAAAAAATTGAATTACCAGTATTCACACCACAAGAAGATCCTTATGGAGGTGATAGCTGTAAATGTAACTGTCATAGTATAATGGATGATTCAAAATTAAAAGGAATGAATGACCATTGTGCATCATGCGGAACAAGGGTAATTAGATTTTCAATATATTATTTAATTTTATTATTCTGTAAAGTAATCACTTTCAACAGATTTTAAATTACTACACAAATATTTAAAAGTGATTATTAAATTAAATTTTATATTATTATGTTGTTCATTATTATTGTTTATTTTAGTAAGATTTAAATTTATAATTTGATAAATGATAAATTATGTATTAGTATTATATATTTTTTGGTGATATATTTTTAAGATTTTTTATTAGATTTTATTCAAATATATTTTTAATTCAAATTTATTAAATAATGTATAATTTTTATAAATTCCAAAATAAACTAGTGTTATATGATGATTTTATACCTTAATTCTTTTAGTGTTTGAAAATTTGAAATTAAGAAGCGTAATTGTGAAATGTGAACTATTTTATTTACTTAAACAAATCTAGTATGAATTTTCTCAAAATTTTAAATTATTTAGAATTTTTTATTTAGAATTTAAATTATTTAGAATTTAAAATTTTTAATGTTTAAATTATATTTATGCAATTATTGTACAGTAATATGTATTTATTATAAATTTACTAGATGTAAGCTTCTTCATATTTATTATGCATTTAAAAAATAAATTTCAATGTTACTTATTGTTTTCCTTAAGATTTTAAATTACAAATTTCTTTTTTTATCTATTAATTTATGTATTTTTATCTCCCACTTGTAATTAAAATGACTATTATGTACTTTTCTAACCAATAAGTTTTAATTAGAATACAAATATCTATTAAATATCTATGAAATGCTGGTTTGCTATACTTTAGTCTTCAATAAGAGGATTTTCATATTATTAAAACCATGATATACCAAAATTAAATGCAACTTTATTATCAGTTTTAATAATGAATAATGAATAAATGCTACATATTGTAACTAAATCTTTAGATCATGTATAAATCAATTCATCTATACATTAAATCAGTTTGATGACGATATTGTATTGTCATGAGTCTTATTCTAAAAATATTTATAATTAAAGTAAAACAGTAATTTTGTAAATTTAGTTAATTTTTATATTTTGTTAAAAATTAATGTTAATAATAATTATTATTAATAATTAATAAAATGATTTATTATAATAGATATTCATTTATAAATAAATTTTCATACAAAAATTATCCATAAATATGAAAGATAAGTATTTTATAAAATTTGTAGCATTGATTATAATATTAATGTGATATAATATTAATAAGACTATAAAAAATCGTTAAAAATAAATATTATACTTTTTAAACTAAACAATTTTGTAATAATTAATATTTCAGTTTTTAAATGGAAGAATTTATTTACAAACTTCTGAAGGTCTGAGACCTGCTAAAATAACGTTTCCGGGTGCTGACGATGAGAAATTCGAGAATATTTCACGGGTATCCCTGAAAACTACTGAAAGATTTGTTCCGTGTCCACCAACTAGAAAACGTCGAAAATCATCTAAACGTGATTCCATATCAGAAGAATCGAATTTAAAACCATGTTCATCTAAAAGCTCACCTACAAAAGATAACGAGGATAGTGATAGATCAGTGTCTAAATCCAAAAAAAGTATAAAATCACCATCAAAATCAACGGATCATAAAATAAAATTACCTAAAATACAATCAACGTCAGTCAAATCTAAACGAGAAAAGAGAACTGAAAAAAAACATATTCGATTTGAACAACGAACTGACGATGAACAAAATGAATTTAATGTAGACACAGATAAAATAGAATTTTACGAAAGTACTGGCTGCAATACAAATGAAGACTATGTAGAATTAGATACATGTGAGTACCATATAAAGAATTTTTTTAATAATTACTTATCAAATTACAATATCTTTTTTAATGTTTTATTTTAAATGTAATTACTTTAAAAAAATTTATTATACGAAGTTGGTAATAAATTTGGAGAAATAAGCACTGATAGTCACGAAGATGATACAATGACTAGTCCAGAAAAAATTAATATTTCATCTACAAGTATAGATAAATTAGATGTTTCCACTGATTCTGATAGTAGCACAAATTTAGAAACAGAAAAATCTTTAGATGCACCATGGACAATGCAAGATGATAAAGTACTGTTACAAAATGTTCAAAAAGATTATTCTGAAAAAACTTTTCTTGCCATTAGTTTACTCTTGAAAAATCGAACTGTTGGACAGGTAAATAGACGCATTTATTACAATTTTATATAGTATTTGATTTTTCTTAAATCACATTATTTATTATTGGTTTTGTAGGTGAAAGAACGATGTGAATATTTGCTTTCATTAATAGAAAAAATGGCATAATATTTTTTTGTATATATTGATTTTGTACAGCTTTTAAAATATAAAATTAATCAATTCAATAAAAAAGAAATATTTGAAATACCATTTGAAACATTAATATTTATTTTTTAATGATTTAAACTTTAACGATGCTTGTCTCACTAACAAAGTTAGTTTTTACTTTGATAAAATGGAAGTTAATTGTTTTATCCAAATTGGATACTGTTATGTACACTACATATAAAAGCATATAATTATAAATTTTAATACAACGTTTACAATAGTTAGCTTATATTGTACGCTGCTTAAGATTATTAGAAATATAAACTATATTCATCATACACTAGTCAATTTATTTAGTTTTAAGATAAAACTTGTTTAAAATAGTTTGGGTTATTAAAATAAATGTTATATTAATAGTTTACTTATACTATTTAATAGATGTGTTTAATTATTAATGGGGTTTTCTATAAAAATCCTTTTAAATTAAGTGTATATTATTAATTATTATAGGAGGATGCTTTAGTTTTAATAATTTTACCGAAACGATTAAATTTATATAAAATCTATTTAAAGTTTAAAATATTTTAGAGAATGTAATAATATACAAGATTCAAGGTCCTTTACCTTTACCTCAGTTATAATTAATTGGTTTATTAAAACTGTTTTTTAATTTTAAGTTCTGTTATGAAATTTTACATAAATATTTGCAAAAATCTGTACAAAATGAGCGAGCGAGTCCGAACAATCAGCACGCACATATTTACAATTATATATGAATTCTGAATTTTACATATGTAAAAAACGTGGAAATAATCAAAGTTAATATTGTTTTCAACTGAAAAAATTCTACAAAACGGTATTAAATTAATAATCTTCAAATAATGACGCATCTTTAATTTCATTACAAAAAAAAATATGATTAGAATGATTTAAAAAACTTCCATATCTACTTCCACTCCAATGTCAAGAAAATCATCTTCATATGCTTGAATGTGTCTTGATTGAATTAGATTAGATGGTTCAGAATGATCAGGATCATCTGTGACAGGACTTGGAGGTGGATTAGAAACTGTACGATCTGAATCAATTGGAATTCTATCCATTCCTTCACCTCTTCTTAATCGTGCTTCTTCTGCAATTTGTTGTGTTGAAAGTTCTGCTCTTGTTAGTAAAGCTGGTAAATCTTTGTCTGACCCGTCTAAAAATTTTAATTAAATTTTAGAACAATTTTTAATGGACATTCTCTCTTTTAGAATAATAATCGATGTACATACTTTCTAAAAGTTTCATAAGCTTTTGGGTTTTTTGTTTTCTATGTGACGTCTCTTTCTTTCTTTCTGTATTTTCCCTTTTATCTTGATAAAAAATATTTCGAATTTTAGGCTGTGGAATGTCATCGTCATTTTTAACAAGATAAAGGTAAATTCCACCAGCAGTTCTTCTTCTAGAACCATTCATTATTAACATACCACCTTCTTCTTCTATTTTTTTAGTTTTTTGAAAAAAATCAATTGCTTGTTCTTTTCCTAAAATTTCAACTACCCTTTCTAAAATAGTTTAATTCCATCAAAATATATTTATTTATTTTTATTTTAATAGGAAAGTATGGATTATAAAATAAAAATTTACTTATCAGTTCATCTTTCTTTTCAGACAATTTATGTGCAATATCCACTGCTACTTCTTCATTAGTAGATTCTAGTGTGACAATTAAATCAGGAATTATTCTAGCTGATCCTTTTAGATAATCTTCTTCTTCACGACTTTTCCTCCTTTTACCCAACCTTAATTTAACATTACGTCTATCTTTAAATGTTCGTTTATTTGTCAGTCTTGTTTCTGTTTCCTGATCTTCATCAGAAGAATTATTACCATGTCTGTTTTTGTTATTATGCGAATATCCTAATGTATAATCATAACTTTCCACATTACGACTGTGATATATATTTTTTGTAACTCCACAAGAAACCAAGTCTTCTGTTAATGATTCTTCTTGTACTTGTGTACACCAAACTTTATATTTATCATTACTAGATCTAGATTGTTGCCCAAATGTTTTACGTTTTATCTTAATTTTGGGTCTTTTTGTCAGTCTGTGACCAGCATCTGAGTCTGAATCACTTTCAGAAGCATCAGATACATCTAATGCATCTGATTCATCACTATATTTAAGTTTTATAGTTTGTTCCGGTACAGGAGGAACATGGCTATGAGGTCGCTGCAAAATATTATAAGTTTCGAAGGCATCAATGGACTGAAAATATATAAAAATTTGAACTAGAATAGCAATATAGTACAATGTAAAAGTAAGGTTGTGAATTTTCAATATTTAGAAGTAAAAAAGAATTAATTTTATTGCAAAAAATTAGGTGTAAATAATAGTATACATTTTCGGTATTAAAACTATATATGCAAAATTGATATAAAGTTAATATTTTAACATGTATATAAAAAATTATATAGTTTTTAAAACGTAATACATAAATTTAAAATACAATATAAAAATATAAATTTTTTTAACAAAATTAAAATGGACGTATTTAAAATGATTAACATAGTTTTAATCTTTAGGAAATTGTAAATATGAGTAGTGGAATGACAAATATTAAAATGAAAAAGTAAGGTTATGTGAATTTTCTGTCAAATAATAGATTTACCTCATCCTCGACGACTTCCCCGTCTTCGACTTCTAGAGATTCTGTCTCCATTGAATGGGAATACAGTGAATAAATTAATATAAAATGCTGATGTATAGTTGCAATAATTTTTTCCACTTTAAATATTCTATGACAAATTCAAACTCGATTAAATATTGAACACTAGACTATTGTCTGACAATAACCCTTCTCAGTTCTCAGTATATTGCCAATTTTTTTGCACAGTTTAATTCAATGCAATTAGCAACAACCAGTTCTCTACTCCTCAGATTCCTAGTGTACTTGGTTCTACTATTCCTCGCTCGAGTCCCGGCAAGATTGAATTTTCGACACACCTCTGTATTTCATACTGTACTATGTAAGATATACACCTAAGCATTTGACAAATATAGCATTGCTAATTCTAATAAAACTGAAACAATTGGTCCCATTTTTTTGTTTTTTTTTTTTGTTTTTTAATGATTTATTAAACCATTTTTATACAGTTAATACTGAATAAGTGTTCCGAACAAGTTGCAATTTTTATTGGATTCACATTTTTATACATTTAAAAATCGTAAAAGGAATAGAAAAATCAATATTAAATTTGAATAAACTAAATATTTGAAATTATTTGTTGCAGATTAAAAGATAAAAATATTCTGAAAATGTCTTATTTTTAATATGTTCGAATATTAAATTATTTTCATTTATTTTTAATATTTAATTTTATATCATGATGGGTGAATAATTCTAATGAAAATACTCAATATAAATTATTAGTGAATAAATTAATAATCATATAGAAGGTCAACAGGCGAATAAATTTCGAATTATTGATCTGAGTAACAGTAAGGTAAACATTCATAATAAAATTTTACTTTAAATATGTATATTTAAAAATTAATTAATTAACAAAAAAATTATAAATGCAAATAAACAATATAAAATTTTGAAGAAATTAAAAAATGTATATTTTAATTTTCGACATATTATAGCATATGTAAGTAAAAACATAAAGCCAATATTTTAGATTTTTTCATTTAAAATTATATACTATTTATTATTATTGAATTATAATAGGATTATTATTATAAATAACAATGTCGAAAAATGCCTTACAAAGAATTTCTAGATTGTTTTGTAACATTAGTAATAAAATTAATTTATTTTCCTCTTTACCTTTAAATATAAACATGCACTCACACACTCACACGCAAAAATCGTATTGATATTTTTGCATTATTAATTTTAATTATTTGGTAAGGTTTATTCCAATAGGAAATATAATTTACTAATTACTTCTTTTATAATATGTATGAGTTACATTTTTATAAACTATTTAGTAAAAATTCTTTCAGAGTAATTATGATTAATAAAAAATTATAATATTAAATTATGTAATGTACATGTTTTTATGAATATTATTAGTTCACATATATTTTAATCGTATAAGCAATACTGTTGAATATATAACTTTTATCAAATTATTTTGTATAATTTTGTACAAAATAACCTTCAATCGGAAGTACAATTTTTGTTTATGTATTTTGTAGATTTCATAATTGATTGGATTTCAAAATAATTACTTTCTTAAATGATGTTTTAATATTTCATAAATACAAATATATATAAATACATTTTTAAATTGATTTATATTTGAACGATTTGAAATGTTTTACAATATTTATACAATGATAAATATTATAAAAATATAACGTTATTATAAAAACAGTGATGAATTAATTTCCATGTTTACACAAAATAAATGTTCATATTATTATATTATCTTAGAAAACCTATAATTTCTCTATTAAGCCCAAGTTCATCTTCACGTTTTAAAGCTGATATAATTTCGTTGTTTAATTCAATGCCAACTTTTGTTCCCATCTTAAAAGAAAATAAATATAATTAAAAATTTTAACACAATAAAACCAATTTTATATACAATACATATAAAATAAGATATGAAAATTTGTTTACATCTAATGTTTTACTTAGAGTAGTAGGATGCACACTCCCATATCCCATTTTAACAATAGATGATATCCTTCCATTTGGCATAACAGAAATTACAATACTTGCACTGCTACACATTTCTTCTTCAGAAGTTGGATCAACAACACAACTGTCTCCAATCTATAAAATAATTTTTAATTGATGATGTTATATAATTTTTAGAAAGTTTTAATAAAAGTATAAACATATGTACTTTATAAAGTGATACAAGAATTGGAAAATTTGTTGTATCCAATTTTACACTTTCATAAGTGTCATCTGATAAAGCGATATCAGCTTCACCACCATCTAAAGTAGCACATTTTACTTTTGGAATTTCTGTACTATATAAAGCTGCTTTTACTGCAATAGCTACTGCATCGAATAAGTTACCACCACATTCAAGAATCTAAATGGTTATTCATTATAATATTTATAAAAATATTTTGTTATACAATAAATAAAAATCTATTTGATAAAAGAAACTTACTAAAATATCTACAAACAATTTCCAACATTTTTTATGAGGTAGTATAGATAGTTGAGTTAGATCCATAGCATCAGGAGATTGATAGGCTAATGCAAGAACATTGCTTATTTCATTAGCTAGATTCTCTCCTCCTCTTCCTTCAAAACTTGGAGTAGCATTTGCTGAGCTATTAATGTATTATATACATTACATTATTTTTCAAATATGAATAGAATCAAATGAAAATAATTTATGTATAAAAAAGATATAATATTTGATGATTTATATATTAAACAAGAATAAATTTTACATAACGAAGTATGCTTACATGAATTAAAAAAGCTTACATCAAAATTCTTTAAAGATGTTTTATTATCTACACCAATTTAAAATTAAAAATATTATTTACCAATCAACAAAAAATTCCAATTTTCCATCACCAGGACTATCAGGATATGGTGTATCAATTTCTACTTTAACGCCAACAAGAACATCAGTATTTCCAATTCTTAATCTAGCTGATCCATGAACTTGATCCATTAGTTTTGTTTCTAATTCCATGCATCGATAATGCGTTCGACTTCTACCATCATTTCTAAAATCAGCCTAAAATAAGGATTATCAATATGATTTTATAAATTTAATTAAAGAATTCTATATTTAAATTTTATTGGTTATTACCTTAATTGTATTGTAATATTATACTAAACAATTATATTAAATATTAATTTAAACATTTTAAATTTATTTTTATTTATTACTTACATCTATACCATGAAGGATAAAAGTTTTTTCAGCTAAACTTAAGGGTATTTCAGCCATTTCATTCAATTATAAAATAATTTAAGAACACTCAAATTTTTATATTTCCATGTTTATTAGTTTATTTAGAACCTACAAAAGTTTACGATTTTAATTAAAATTATAAATGCATTAAATACATATAAAAACAATAAGCAAAAATTTACAAGACCGATGATCAATAAATGAAATTAAAAATTATAACTACTATTTCCGATTTGACTGTACAAGAGAAAATTTATGCATTGTATAACATTTCCAATATGTCCTATACATACATGATTAGTAGAAAATGAAATTATAGAAACTATTGACAATTGGTTCAATGTTAGTTGACGGTACAACCTGTATACGAAATATTTATCAGAAAAACTATAAAAATATAAATTTTGAACAAATTATTGTTGTTACAGAGGTCACTATCATAAATTTTTAACCTGCATCAACGACTCGTATTTACATCGATGATTGTCAAGTGAACTAAAATACAATTATTAAAAACTTTTGACAATTAATATGTTAAGCATGATACTACTACGATAATATTACATAAAGCAAGGCTTTTTTTTAATTAATATATTTCATTATTAATTAAAATACTTTATAGTTTTTAAGATAATTTATAAAATCGAAATATTTGTAAATGTGATTCATAAAACATCGAAATCATTATTTCAATAAATTTTTGGTGTTTACTGAAGCTTATGGGGATAAAAATATAATTTAAAAAAAAAACGAAAATAAAACTTAAATTGATATTTTTCATAGATTCAAAATCAATAAATACTCTACAATTTGGAATATTAATTACAGTATATGATATTACAAATTAAGTAATATAAATTTACTAAGATATTTGTGTTTTAAATGAGGATCAAAAGGAAATAGAAGTATAAAAATGAAAGATGTTTAATATATTTAATTTGTAGAAATATTAAACTATATTATATATAAACATTATAGATTTTTTAAATGGTTTTGTAACATATAATGAGGTGGTTTAATAAACATATTGTTACATATTGTTCTAAATTTATTTAATTACAATAAATGTGTAAAATTTTCGTTAGCAGATCAACAATTATAGAAGATAATGTAATTGTTTATTTATTAGAATGACATTATTCAAAAAGGTTCAAATAAATCAGAGGATTAATCTAACGAAAATTAGTTATTTAACAAAGATTTTATAGATTTTGAAAATATAACATACTTAAATAATAGAACAATGACAAGTAAAGATTCGATTACAAGAATGAATAATCAATAAAATTATTATACTTTAATCATGCATATTTTAATTTAAATATTCTTACATTCTCAATAATATATAAAAAGTAGAAATTGGTTATGATTAGGTAATGATACTTGTAAATAATACATTTTATAGTATATAAATTATCTTGTATAAAAATTGTTTTTATCACTTATAAAAATAAACTTATAACTTATAATTTGTTAAATAACAAAGGTTTATAATGATTAACTGAATTTATAAATATTTACTATTTTACTATTTTAATATAAAAACCTATTTTACAACTGTTAATATGAAACTGTTTAATTAGTAAAATCATATATATTTTTATAAAATAGAACAAATAGATTTTGAAATAGAATCAAATTTGTATACATATTAGCATTAGTTTGTAATTGTTATATTATATATATTTACATAAGAATATCTTCTATCTTTGTAGTTTTCATAAAATATTTTCAAGAACATTGTTCAATAATTGAAATGGTTTTGTAAGTCATAACTCATTTGATTAATTTAAATAATTGAAATACCTGCTAAAGTTTTGTTGTTAGAAAGTTTATAATTGAGAGATAAACAACAAATAATAATAAAATAGTTGCCTTAAATATTATAGAATATCTAACTTTTTTTAGTTTTTTATAATTGATTTTTGATCAATTAAAAAATTGTTAAATTAAAATTTGAATAGAATTAAAATTATTGTATGGTATACAAAAATTTAACATTTATTTGTGAGAATCTTTAACTACAATTATTTATAATTACAATAATTTAATTTATTTTGTAACAAACAAGTTAATATTAATAAATCTTAATTAGAATTATAAAGTAAATTAATCCTTTCAATTTATATATAAATCTTTATAAGAAAATACTAGTTAAATTGTAATAATTATTATATATAATTTATTAATTGAAAATCTAACTATTCTATTGTGTACAATTTTATTAGCAACATTTAAATAGGTGAATTTTCAAATCCAAATGTAGCATAGTCTTGAGGTTTTTTTTCTTTCATATTTGGAAAATCAGGATCACCAGGATATAATGCTATTGAAGATGAAGTAAGTTTCCATCCTTTTTTACTGGTCCAATTCTGTATAATAAAACAATAAAATTTAGAAAATGCTTTACTCTTATGAAATACAATTTATAACTTTTAATGATATATTATAAATATAAACTAACTTACACCTCTGTTATATTTCATATAATAGTGTGCGCAATATATACCCAATATTAACATTCCCATTTTTGCAATACAGTGTCTTGTAAATTGAGCTGTTTGAAATCCCTATAATAATAATATATGATTTTGTTTTCAAACAAGACTGAAAAATTCTAAATACATAAAAAATATATAAAAAAAAAATTTAAATATTATACTATAAATTCATACAGCAATTGGAACCAATGCTGCCTCTAGTTTATTTAAAGGTGTTCTATAAAATCTTCTGATTGGATTGTATCGTTCTTTGTAATAATTTTGTGGTATTATAGGTTCATTGTGTAAAATCTGATCTTTTACCCATTTAGCACGCCAAGCACGTTCTGCTTCTGTCATACCTAACATACGCTCTCTTTCTCTTCCCATTCTACCTTGAATTCCCATAACTTTGACACCACCACTCTCAGAACATCCATATTTGTTAGCAATATCATTTGATCCACCCACTGAAATAAAAAAATTTTTTAAAAAATGCTATACAAAAATTTTATACCAAATTGATTATTTTTCTTAATTATCCAAAACATGCAAAACATGCACGATATAAGATAAATAATAAATTTTTTTAAATTTTAATTTTTTAATATATTTTATAATAAACTAAAATAATAATATACAAACTTTTGTTTTCTGTTCTGCAGACCAATACTGTTGAATAATAGGTTATGAGTCTACTTATATTAATATATATTTAAAACCTCTATATTAAGTTACAATATTGCTTAGGTTAGACATAAACATTTTTAAAAATTTCTAATTAATAAATCATTTAAAAATATTTAAAAAGTATTTTAAAATAATACATTCTTTGGAACGTATAAGAATTTGCTTATATAATTTTTCTATATAATAGTTATATATTAATTGTATATTATAGGAATTCTTTACAATAAAGTAATAAAGGCAAAAGAGAAAAATTTCTTGCGTATTATCCTGTATTTTTAAATATCTTTATATACTTAAATTTTAATTAAACTAAATATTTCTTTCGATAATAGATTACTTTTTAAAAATTTATTTATCATTTATTACTTACTGTATTTAAGTATGTTCGAAAATGTGATTGATTTTCTGGCTCGAACTGCCAGGTTCAATAGTTCAATGAATTTGCCGCCCGCCTTAGCGATGCTTAGGTAAGGACTTAAATGGAAAGACTAGAGATGTACAATGTGCAGACTTCGTTAAAACATCTTTTATTTTTCGTTTATTGACAATTACATCATTGTTGAATTGAATTCACTTCTCATGGTAGAATGTGAACTATGTTCTATTACAAGGATGTAGTTGCTCCATCTCGTTGACGATGTTGTCAGGATCCAATCTTAATGTCTTTCCGTGAATGATGCCATTTGAAAATTGATTGTTGCCGTTATAAATAGTGAGTTGACCATTGTGACCAAAATTGTTGTATATATTGTTGTAAAAATTGTTAGCGAGACAATCCTGAAATTGACAGTTCCTTGAGAGACGCTTCTGGAATAGTTGTAAGCGAGCTCCCTATAAGGAAATGTCCTGGAGTGAGTGCCGCAATATATTCGGGGTCGTCAATCATTGGCTTTAAAGGCCTTGAATTGAGGATTGCCTCGATTTAAGCAAGCCAGGTAGTGAGCTCTTCATAGGTGAGCAAGGTTTATCCGATGGTGCGTCTTAGGTGGTGTTTTACTGATTCACCACAGCTGCCCACTTCCCTCCCATGTGGCGCGCTGCTGGTGGATTGAATTCCCATTGAGTATTCTCTTATTATATAATACTTCTAATTTGTGGCTGTTCGAGGGTGTCTTGAATGAACAGTCTTTTAAGAGCGACATCAACCTCGATGAAAGTCGTACCACAGTTAGCAGTGAATCGTCTATATGCGAGAATGAAACCATTGATTGTATAGTCAGAGCTGCTTTGAGATGTACCGTTGATGTGGCAAAAGTAGCTAAGATAACTGGTAACAATGCTTAGATGTTGCTACGCGGAGACTAGGCAGACTTGCAGAACGTTCAAGAATCAAGCTTTAGACTATTCGCCAATTCTGCGAAAGCGAAGCTTCGTAAGGTTCGATAATTCAATAGATATTGCTATGTAGAGCCTAGATAAACATTGTAGGACGCTCGAGAATAAGCTATAGAAGCTTCGACAGTTCCAGGAATCAATGTTTACAAGTTCCAGAACTAAAAGGCTTATAAATTTCTAAGAACGGCAGGTCTTGGAAAAATCCTCCAATTCCGAACAAAGTATATTAATTTTAATACAATATACAGATCTAGACTGTAAACAGAATGTAACTATTTAATAGCATTTATTTGTATATATTATATTTTTTATGACTGTATAAAATAATGTTAATATATTTATGTATGATATACGTAATATATTTTTATCTTCTTACACATTAATAGTTGATTTTTACAAAGTATTTTTGAACAGTTTCCTCAACAAATCAAAACAACTCATACAATCTTTGTACAAATTTTCAGAACTTTTAAAAATAAATTGATAACACTATTTATGAGTTGAGTTGAACAATAGTATTTATTCAATAGTTCAATTACAGAAGATTGTATACAATAAAATTAGCAGGTGAAAAGAAGCAGCACAATTTTTTTTAACTTTAATTTCTTGAATACATATCTACATATTTTTGCAATAAAAAATGTGTTATTACAGTAAAAATATTGTTAAGAGATTACAAAATGAATTATAAATGAAATTTTCGCCTTTATTTATTATTATATCAAAATTAACATGTAGTTGATAAATTTAACAAAATATTAATAAGAGAATATTTATATTTAAAATCATTACATATCGTAATTCACTTTAAAACAGTTAAATTAAATGATAAACTATAAATAATAAAAATATTAAACTTAACAATATCAAAATATTATAATGAATATTTATAAAATAAACATATTTTAACTCATTTCAATGTTATATAATGTTTTCACATTTTTAATAACTTTAATTAATATGGTTTCATTAATTAATGTAAAAACGATTATAAAATAAGTAATGATTAATAGATAATAAATCATTTATAAGGATAGAAGTTAGGAAATAAAATATATAAACAAATTATTTATAGATAGATCATTTATATATTTAGTCGTTTCAATTTTATTATATACTTCATCATAAAACATATTTCGTAAGTTAAACAAGTATTTTTTATTTTTTATCTAACGTCTAATGGTTATAGATATTTAGATATTTCACAGTATTGACTCTATTTTTTATTTGAGATGACTAAAGACTTCATTATCTACACACACACACACACACACACACACGCGCGCGCGCGCGCGCGCGAGTGTGTACATTTATATTTATGCATGTATGTATGTACGTTTACATATTATAATCTTTTTTATTTATGTTATATTCATAAATTTTTATTTTTATTAACATAATTAACAAAGATAATTGTGAAGATATACGTATGTGGATGTTACGAAAAAGGTAAAACAATTGAAATATTTTTTCTTTGGTAATGATTACAATAGATGCTTGTCAACAATTATAATAGGCAATTATTACATTAATACAATATATAATACAATAAATTAATAAAATAAAGTTGAATGTTTAATAAATGAAAGTTTTTTATTATTTTATATACTCTATTATATAAGATTATTTCAATTTTATTTTATTTTCAACTTCAAATTTTTTAAATTTATTGTACGTAAACAATTAAATATAAACCACTTCATTCGACAAGAGCTAGAAGATAATGAGATTATGTATGTAGATAATGAAATTATAATAAGGATACTTTATTGTTTTATAAAGTATAATTACTTGATTTGACACATATGATTGAGGTTTTGAGCAAGTTTATCGATGCTTAGCTCGCGTCTCACAGCCTAGAGAGTGATTTAGATACGAACATGTATTCGTTTCCACGTGTTTCGTTTACAACGAAAAAAGTAACATATCGCCTACGCTTTAACGAACATCAAATGTCGAACCTACAGGCATATATGTTTCTTTTAATTTTTTTTAATTTTTTACTTTATTAATTTTTTCCCCTTAGTTTTATTTTCGTTTATATTTCATTTAATTAATTATATTATTAATTATATCTTCATGAAATACTTTGTGTTTAAATATTGATACGAGACCGTCGAAGGCCAAATATTTTAAAATATTTTTGAGAAATATCATATTGTGAAGATTTGATTACTTTTCTTGACATTTCTGTTATTTATTTTGAAAGATTTGTGCTCGGCTGATCACGTTATATGGCTGCTACTGTGATACTTTATTGTGCATTGAAAGGAAGAAGTATGATCATAGTAAATCTTCAAAACTGCGATACTGTTTGAATCGTGGAAAAGATACACTTTACGCTAATTATGCGTAACAGTAAAAATTTTTTCATTATGTTTTTTAATACGTGTTAGATTTTTTCTTTCAAGATATACTTTTAGCCACTTGTATTTACCTAACTATCTTATATGTACAACATTCTTTAATTATAGTGGTATAGTTCAAACATTTGTTATAATTCATTTGTATACATTTTATAATCATCTTAATTCTATCTATTTTATTTTGCACTTAATTTATCATTTTTCATTAATATTTAATTCTGTATTTTTTTACTTCCATCTTAGTTTTATTAACTAATGTTCATTGTTTAAATTCTTAATCAATAAAATCTTTCTAATAGTCAACATTTTTTTTACTATATATAATCTACATAATCCACCAGTATCTGGATAAGATTCACATAAAATATATCATACATCATTATTAAGGAATCATAACATATTAAAATTATAAAATATGTTAATCACAACATTATGTATATTATGTGGACGATAAAACATAATGCAAATATGTTATAAGATTTTTTTATTTTCTTCTTTCTGCCTAATATATTGAATATGATTTTCTTTAACTTAGATATATTTTCTCGTACATACATAATAAATACTTTCTTGTATAGATGCGATAAATAACGCACTATTCTGGTTTTAATTAAAATTACTATCGCTTGAATGTTTTACAGTTTTTCTTGGTGTATGTTGCGTTCATTATTCGAGCTTGTTTTGCTTTTATAGCCAAGTATATTTCTTTTTATATTTGTGTACTTTGAATAGATAATTTTTCAAATTTCAGAACGTTATAAAGCATCACTACTGTTTATTCGCTATACTTGTTTTACGTATATTATAATGAAGAGTAAAGTTGATTTAAAAAAATAGAAATAGGAAAATTCTGCCTTTTTATAATTTTATGTTGAATATATTGAATTTTATTTTCACATAACTTTAATGCACCATTCAGTTAAAAGAAATAAATAGAAAAAATCCAAATTATAGAACAATCCTCTGTTCAAGTAACATTAAATTTTATGACAATTATTATTTAATTATCATTTACTTAAATAACGCACTACAAAATACAATAAATTTTACGTTCATGTTTTTAGAAAATAAATCTATGTTGCATCAAAATAAATTGCACATCATGAAAAACAAATTATTTTATATTTTACATACAGTAGTATTCAAAGAATTATTGAAAGCAGATATCATAAAAAAATCATTTGTTGTATAATTTCTTTCCATATATATCACCATTTGTAATTATAGCGTATATTTGTATATTTACTTCCTTACTATTCTGTAATATGAATTAAACTTTATTTCACAAACACCATTTATGTATTAGGATGTTATTTTATGTACGTGAATGTTAATATTATTGTAAGCACATTAAAATTCGTAAAATTTTTAATATTATTGCATTTATACAATTACAATTTTTTAAAAGATTTTATGCGCACTCTACTTTACGTAGTATTTTTTACGTTATACATGTATAGTATATATCTCAGAAAAAGAGACTTTGTATAACTATTATACATAATGATTCAAAGATTATTTTTTGACATTTAGTATCGTCTTATTTCTTTGCTTTGAAATTTCATGCAATGTATCCATTGATACAATTATATTTTACCACTATTAGAATCATACTACACTTTTGAAAATCTTTTTTATTACTTATAGTGCGTTATCACCTTATATGCTTTTAAGGCTGAATCTCAAAAGTCGGTAAACGATGATTAATCATTCGCACTTTTACTAATGATATTGAGTATAACGTGGTTATTTATCATTGAAGATGAAATCCTCAATAAGTTTGTAGATGTGTGCTCGTGTGAGATCTTTATGTAAGCGCGAGATCACGCATGCGTATACGTGTACATTTGAATTTACTTAAATTTGTTTACGTACATATTTTTTTTAAAATATTTTTTTTAAATGTTTTAAAATGACAACAACAAACGCGCATAGGCCCTCTCGAATCGAGAAATTTTTAAGAAACATTTTCCTATACTAAGCTGATTATTTAAAAATCATTTGAGTTGCAAATACGATCGTTTTTTATTTATCTATATCATTTCATAATTTTTATTTGTTAATAAATTACGAATATTAATTAAGCGTAGAATTCTGAGTGCTATTATTATGTAAAACTATGTAAAATCTAGGCTAGATTCTAAAAGTTTACATGTCTGTTAAGCAATTAAAATTATTTTGATTTTATTAAGATTTTTTTTACTAAACAACCACAATAATGCATGTAGAAAAGTGACCACCTTTTCGCGTTGTTAACATAACGCAAAATATTAAAAAAGTATTGTGGCAGTGGTTTTCGTAGATGCTGTAATTTTGAGCTAAATTTTGATTTTTTAGTAAGTTTTTTTCAATATTTTAAGAAAATTCTTTTGTTCTATATTTGTCTAAATATCATATAACTTCATTTATTATTTGTTAGTATGGAATTTGTAAGTATGAATTTTTGTTTTTATTTGTAATTGAAACTGAACTGGACGTAGAGTTTTTTCGTATGACAGAAGTTTAAATGCTTTTATCTTGAATAATTTTTTTTCAGCTACATAAACTCACTATCATACACACTATGAATATTTATTATACTTATAAGTACTGTAATAAGATACTTCCTTTGTTAATTTTTTGTTATCTTCTGCTTAAATTAATTTTGATTCGAAATACTCTAAGATGATATATTTCGACTATTTTAGTAGTACATCGAAAATATTGAAATATTGAGAATAAAAAAGTAGTATACATTTGTGATTTAGTAATTGTGAGGGTAAAGTATCATTTAGCGACCCATTGTGATGAAAAATCTTAGATGATTAGAAAAATTTATTTAGTATTGAATTCTAACTCATCAGAATGAACAGCAGCTAAACCTTCTCCTGATATTCTTAATCGTATTCACTTACGCGCTGAACATTTATTTCAATTGTGCTTTGAAAGCGAACTTTTGGCACGTGATATTGGCGTTTATTCTTACGAGGATAGGTGGACGCTATATTTTTTTACCCTCTTTCATTCCAATATTCGCATTATCTTCTTTATTGTAATAAGATGCTATTTACCTATTTTATTAGTTATCCCTCGTATTGCGTTATTGAATGCGACCTTGGGCTTTAATAGGGATACATAATGAGCTGCTGTTGCAGATTTACGACAGTATTGGTGTACTTGTAGTTACATAGTTGAGAATTAAGTGATCACTTTGATGCGTAAAAAGTGAATTAGTGCTCGATAGTGATTGTGATCTACCGATTTCAATTTCAATTGCTTCTACTGTTATGGCTATTATTCCTCTTCAGGAGTACATGGTTATCACCTCTCGGCCTCCACCCCGCACTATAAGTACACGCTCTAGACCTTCCGTTAGCACCTCCAAGAACACCATATCTAGATTTTTTATCAATAATATAATAAAGTGATTTTCATTATTATGGATTTCTTTATTGTAATATTGCGTGCATAAATTATGATATTTCTTCTGTTCACATAAAATAACTTAAAATACTGCATCTTTTTTTTGTAATCAATTGTTAAAATTAAATTACAAAAATTCGTTAAATAAAATTTTATATAAAATTTAAATTTATTAATTAAAAATATACGTAATTATATTAATAATTCATAATTAAAATGCTTATTGAAGCAGTACATAATGTATATGAAATTAATAATCCAATTTTAAATGTTTATATGAAATTTAAATAAAAATTTGGATAAGAAATATTATAAGTATTTATTCACACAATACGTAATAAAAATTAGTAGTAGATAATATAATACAATTTGATTCGCGTTCAATATTAGTATCTTTAGGTGGTCCAGGAAGATTTAGAATGACCAGTTGAGCTTCATGGCTCTTGTTAACAATAACTTCGTTTAATTTTACTGCTGTATGCATTCGTCTCACGTTATCTGCTCCACTGTAATTATAATCAATGCATATTTATATATTTATTTTATCAAAATACATAAAAAATATTACTATAATTCTGTATATAATAATAGATAAATATAGATTTAACCACATATAACAACATGAATTAATTTTTAAATAAAAGGAAATAATGTATTATAATAAATTGAATCTATCACACTATTTATGCGTTACATTATTTTAATTAAATTAAAATAAAATTAAAACACTGAAAATTGTTATCTTACGGCGTATGAGGTTCAGAATCGTCTTCATCATCACCTTCCCTAATCTCTTGAGGAATCTCCTGATTTTCTGTAGTTGCTTCCTTCTCAATTTCATTTTTGCTAAGTTTCGGTGAACTTTCGGACACAACATTCTCTTGGATCGAGTTGTCAAGTTTTTCCTTCTCTTCAGGAGAGATGGCAGACTTATTTGAGTTTTCCTGCTCGTCTCCAGCACTAGGACTTTGCTGCTGTGTTCCAGGTTCCTGGAAACGGACCTTTGTTTGTTTGATCTCCATATTCTGATGATGATGGTCAACGATCGCCTGTACCTGCGAGGAGAGCATAGCGGAGGGAAGAGGGAATGATAGATAGAGATATATAGAAATGGAGATACAGAAATATGTATATATATATATATATATATATATATAGAGAGAGAGAGAGAGAGAGAGAGAGAGAGAGAGAGAGTGGGAGGGAGAGAGAGAAAGAAGGAGAGGGAGAAAATAGACACATTAGAGAAATGTAGTGCTCAGGTTTGCTCAGCGTCCAGTTTGTATAAACTTTTATCTAAAGAGCTGAATGATGATTATAATGATGACATATTTAATTTAAATTTAGATTATGAAATATTAGCATGACGTAGTTTTATTCTATTCTGAATACTCTGCTAATTTATAAATCTATTGATAAATTATAAAAATGTTCCTTATTCATATGTGAAATATGCATGAATAATTAAGCAGTAACACGTACATATTTTAAATTTGTAATGAAATAAATTTATTCATAATTGTAATTTAAATAAAATATATTTATCATCGTCTTAATCAACATTCAGCTTATGAAAATGTTGTGATAAATGTTTCGAAAAATTAACTACAAACTAATTTATAAGCGTTGTGAATTTCAAATAAAATATTTATGATATCATGAAGTCTAAAGTCAAAGTTATTAAACATGAATGAATTGAATGTGCCATTCAAGCTAAATGTGGAATATAGAGATAAAAAAGTTAGTTAAATATAATCATCTACAGATTTCATAATAAACAAGATAAACTAACATACTCGAGGGTAATTAAATGATTTTAAAATATAATAATATAAATATTTAATCTATAAAAAATAATTTATATTTCATTAAATTGTTTTGGTCGTCAGTTCATATGATCATTATATGGTTTTAATAATAATAGAAATTAACGATTTAAATATAATATATTTTCAGCTAAATCTGTGTAGTAATATTTAACTGCACTTTTCTCTTTATGAGAAGTGAGATAGAATCCTCCTTTTATTATTTCAGTACGATGAGTGTAGAAATAAAAGAAAAATTTATGATCGAAAACATTTGTTGCTTGAGAAAAAAAATTGTGAAGTCTCGCGACAGCTATCAAGCCCTTAAAAATTGAGCAATTATTTTGAAGCATCTTCTTTGCAAGGCGTGCAGAAATGATAAACACATAAAATAAATCTCGAAGATATCCTTCGAAAAAATAAATTAAAAAATAAGAACATTGAATATTAGAATGATTAAATTAAATTGTGTGATGTACGATAATATATTTCTAAATCTTGAGGGGCATATATCTCTATTTTTGTGATGCGCATATTTATGTACACGAATATAAACATGTAACAAAAATAGTGAATGATAATAGTACGAGTTCATATATGGAACTCTCTTCAAGAGTGAAAAATAAATAGATATGAGACATATTGAACTTGATTGTTAAAAAAAAACATCAAGATGAAGACACTAAATTGGAGAAGGACATCTGGAGCCTTAAGGGTATTCTGACAAACCGGAGGTAAATTTTCCTCGGCAGGTACCTCGTTGAAGTCCACTGATGTCTGATCCATATACGCATGAGAGTATCCGCGACGGAGCAAAGCAACAAACAGATATTATCTGATCAGTAATCTTATTTTCTAAATATCTCATGATCTTTATTTCCTAACTAATTTCAGTAATTTCTTTGAAAAAAAATCTTGTTTCATTATATTTAAGTAACATAACTTGTTATACTTTTTTTGCAATAAAATATGATAGACATTGAAAATTAATATATTTAGTGAAGATTATATATTGATGTCAATGCTTCATTAAAAATGTAAATATTCTTAAATACTTTTTAACGAAAAGTATATAAATACTTTCGATACAATAATTTTGATAACTTATTATCTTTAAATTATTTTTATTAATTTGTCAACATCAATTGTTTGAAATTTCATAAAAAGGTATTTTTATTGTATCTTTCAATATTTGTAAATAGTAAAATGTTAGATAACATAAAAATAAAATTTTGTTTACTATTGTAAATAAAGTTCAAATCTTCTTTAAATCAATTTGCACTAAAAAAGTACATAATATTTTGGTATTCTATAACTAATAATATTAAGATACGAAGCGTTATGTTTGAAGTTTATTTTCGGAAATTGAATTTTACATTATACTAATAAAAATCGGTGTAATATTATATAATATTTTATTTTACATATTATATTCTAATGTACTCAATTACGAGACAAAATAATATATTATTGTTATTATAATGTTTATTATAATAATAATATTATAATAAAAAAATTTTTATTTTATTCATATTTTATTTAAATGTAATAAAAATAGAATTACTAATGACAAAAACTTTCTGATGTATAAGGATAATGGATTAAATTACTTTTAATAGTTTATGCATAAATAAATTACAAAAATAAGTGTAGTTAACTTTATACTTATCTATATATTACAAATTTTAATTTTGTAAATTAAATATTATACTATTTAAACACAAGTGTTTCTATAATTATTTAATTTACATTTACAATCAAATTGCTAACATAATAATACCTTTCTTTATTATAATTATAAATAAAAACATTATAACATTATTATTAAAAAAATTAAATATTCGACAAATTATAATTAACATAAAAAAAATTCATGTTACTATGGACTAATGATAAAAAAATTTGTTATCTAAATCTGTTCCTATAAGTATTCAACTTTTATATAATTATTATAAGTAAATATTATTCTTTTTTATATATATTTCATTTAAAGTTTATAAGTAATAGATGCAATACATACGATTCCTATTGATTCCTTCTTGCTCAATTGCATTTCTCGTAACATCTGATTTCTTTGTTCCATCAATAGCGTTCTCTCATAAGTGTATGCAGAAATATCTGAATCCATCTAGAAATATTTGCAACTTATTTTTCAATAATTATTTAAAAAATGAGATTTCAATAAATCTAGTATTATAGATGAGTTTCAATATATATATATATATATATATATATATATATATATATGTATAAATTTCTTATATAATATTATCTTAAAATGAGATCACAATAGTGTATATATTGTTAAAATATGAAAATAATTATAAGATAATATTCTCAAAACAAGATTTACAATTTAATGATCATTTCGTGCATTTTATGAAAATAGGAAAAGTCCAATCATTATTAAAATAGAATAATTCTGTGATACAGAAATCTTGTATAATAATTAAATAAATATTTTTCTAATTGGTATGAATATATATATTTAAAAAATATATAGTTGTCGAAAAAGCGTCATGGAATTTAAATTGAAAAAAATTATATAAATCATTTTACGTCATGGTATACAGTTAGAATTGCTAAGATTGTAAGGCTACGTAATAATCTCGATTATTGATTATAGAGGAATAAAGAATTGGCAAAAAGAAATTTAATGAAACTACGATATTTCTTGTTATCTTAATTTAATAAATATAAGATATTTCGGTAAAAGATATTTCAATAAAGATAACAGTACTGAAATAAATTAATAAATAAAATTAATTTATAAAATAAATTAAAATTCTTAAATAAAAAATAAAAAAATAAAATAAAAAAAATAAAATTATAAAATAAAATTCATTTAGCACAATTTTATATTTATCAGAATTGTATACATAAATGCATGTTTTAAGAGATATAAATAAAAATTTGATGGGAAAATAAAAGTATATGCTTTAACCATTTCGACAACTTCCACCTCGGCTTCAATTCTAAGATCGTAAAGGAGCTTTTTCAAGTCTTTCTTCATTTGTATGGAATTATCCTCCATTTGGGCGACAGTAAAAATCTTCATTTTGCAATTCTTCCAGGTACGATGCTGCTTCAGTAGGAAAGGTAAAAGCATGAGAAGACCGCCATCGTGTACGATCCACCAAACGTGGATATCACCAATGACCTTCTCAGTTGAGTCTGGGAAAAAGTTTATACCCTTAGGTACAATAAGCGCCATTTTGGCTGCGGTGACGCAGCGCATCGTCTGTAAGAAAGTACGCCATGTGTGGCTACTCTCCGTTTGACGCCAGCTATAGGGCCAACCAAGGATCACACAGTTGGGCTTCATCCCGCCTAAGCCAGTCATTTGAACGAGTGAACTTAAGCCATCGATCACGTTGCGGGTCACCAAAACATCCACAAAACCTTTAACCTACGATAGAAAATTAATTTTGTTTAATTAATTCTTTTCCAACATGACTTGTCTGATTATCAAATTTCAAGCATATGTAGCTGTTGTTTGGTACATTTAAGTTAAATTTAAATTATCAATGAATTTTAATTCTTTTGCTATTTATCTTTTTAATTTTCAGTGTTGTATCTCTTGAATTTAATTTTATTCTTCCATAAAATATTAAAATAATATTAAATATAAACACTGAGATAAATGTGAAAATGATAATGGGAATGAAAACAAAAATGAAAATAATATCATTAGATTAATTACATCTTAACAATTATGATTTTAACAAATTTTCATTAATTTAACTTTTATAAGGTGGATCATCCATAAAACTCTGAAGGTATTTTATTGTCTTGAGGACTTGTATTGAGGGCCATTATTGAAAGATTATTAGAAAAGTAACTAACCTTTTCTTCTTCCATAGTTCTCCTCAAAGCTTGTTTGACAGCGTTAGCATCTCCAGATCTACGAGTGTAGTCTCCAGCGATGCAACTGACTGCAATGGTTAGACCCTTGCTAGCTTTTAACTGACTAACAAAGGCGAACATTTTACGATATTTTGGAGCGAGATCATCTGTAATTTTAGCCAGAATAAGGATCTGCGGGCGCCAGTTTTTCGTATGGGGCGGTCCCTCCTCGAGGCGGAGAAGTGAATATCGCGCAGCTGACAGAGCGAGCCCCCGAATTCCATCACCCCATTCCTTCTCTGCACCTCTATACTCAATATATTTGTAAATGAGCCCAGCCATTCCCATGGCCACTAATGCATAGTACCAACTCGTCATGAACATTACTGCGATGCAAAGAGATAGTCCAATAAACGATAGACTCCAGTGATAGTATCTGTTAGAAGCACAATTTGTTTTTTGAGCTCATTGATCAGCGAAGAAACCATAACAGATTATAAAGTAAAGTATTGGTATTTATATCTTAATAAATAAATTAATAAGGATTTAATATATATGCTAAGATATTTTAATAGAAGAGTAATAGTAATAATAATAATAATTATAATATTACGAA